TTGTTATAAACTAGAATGATGACCAGTGAAATGTGTGTTTGTTATATTTTAGGCCGTTGACCAGTAGAATGTGTGTTTGTTATAAACTAGAACGATGACCAGTAGAATGTGTGTTTGCTGTAGTTTATACCGGTGACTAGTGGAATGTGTGTCTGTTATATTATAGGCCGTTGACCAGTATAATGTGTGTTTGTTATAAACTAGAACGATGACCAGTAGAATGTGTGTTTGTTATAAACTAGAACGATGACCAGCAGAATTCGTGTTTGTTATAAACTAGAACGATGACCAGCAGAATTTGTGTTTGTTATAGTTTATACCGGTTGAACAGTAGAATGTGTGTCTGTTATATTATAGGCCGTTGACCAGTATAATGTGTGTTTGTTATAGTTTATACCGGTGACTAGTGGAATGTGTGTCTGTTATATTATAGGCCGTTGACCAGTATAATGTGTGTTTGTTATAAACTAGAATGATGACCAGTGAAATGTGTGTTTGTTATAGTTTATACCGGTTGAACAGTAGAATGTGTGTCTGTTATATTATAGGCCGTTGACCAGTAGAATGTGTGTTTGCTGTAGATGTGTGTCTGTAATATTCTAGCCCTGTAACCAGCAGACGACATGTCTATTATTGACCAGACTGGTGCATGTGTGTCTGTAATATCCTAGACCTGTAACCAGTAGACGACATGTCTGTTTTTGACCAGACTGGTGATTGTGTGTCTGTAATATTCTAGACCTGTAACCAGCAGACGACATGTCTGTTATTGACCAGACTGGTGAATGTGTGTCTGTAATATACTAGACCTGTAACCAGTAGAAGACGTGTCTGTTTTTGACCAGACTGGTGAATGTGTGTCTGTTATATACTAGACCTGTAACCAGTAGAAGACATGTCTGTTATTGACCAGACTGGTGAATGTGTGTCTGTAATATACTAGACCAGTGACCAGTAGACGACATGTCTGTTATTGACCGGACTGGTGAATGTGTGTCTGTAATATACTAGACCTTTAACCAGTAGATGACATGTCTGTTGTTGACAAGACTGATGAATGTGTGTCTGTTATATACTAGATATGTTATCAGTAGACGAGATGTCTGTTATTGACTAGACTGGTGAATGTATGTCTGTAATATACTAGACCTGTAACCAGTAGACGACTTGTCTGTTATTGACCGGACTGGTGAATGTGTGTCTGTAATATACTAGACCTTTAACCAGTAGATGACATGTCTGTTATTGACCAGACTGGTGAATTCGTGTTTGTTGTAGTTTATACCGGTGACTAGTGGAATGTGTGTCTGTTATATTATAGGCCGTTGACCAGTAGAATGTGTGTTTGTTATAGTTTATACCGGTTGAACAGTAGAATGTGTGTCTGTTATATTATTGGCTGTTGACCAATAGAATTTGTGTTTGTTATAGTTTATACCGGTGACCAGTAGAATGTGTGTTTGCTGTAGTTTATACCGGTGACTAGTGGAATGGGTGTCTGTTATATTTTAGGCCGTTGACCAGTAGAATGTGTGTTTGTTAGAGTTTATACCGGTTGAACAGTAGAATGTGTGTCTGTTATATTATTGGCTGTTGTCCAGTAGAATGTGTGTTTGTTATAGTTTATACCGGTTCAACAGTAGAATGTGTGTCTGTTATATTATTGGCTGTTGTCCAGTAGAATGTGTGTTTGTTATAGTTTATACCGGTGACCAGTAGAATGTGTGTCTGTTATATTATTGGCTGTTGACCAGTAGAACGTGTGTTTGTTATAGTTTATTCCGGTGACCAGTAGAATGTGTGTTTGCTGTAGCTTATACCGGTGACTAGTGGAATGTGTGTCTGTTATATTTAAGGACCTTGACCAGTAGAATGTGTGTTTCTTATAGTTTATACCGGCGACAAGTGGAATGTGAGTCTGTTATATTTTAGGACCTTGACCAGTGGAATGTGTGTTTCTTATAGTTTATACCGGCGACAAGTGGAATGTGAGTCTGTTATATTTTAGGACCTTGACCAGTGGAATGTGTGTTTCTTATAGTTTATACCGGCGACAAGTGGAATGTGAGTCTGTTATATTTTAGGACCTTGACCAGTAGAATGTGTGTTTGTTGTAATTTATACCGGTGACTAGTGGAATGTGTGTCTGTTATATTTAAGGACCTTGACCAGTAGAATGTGTGTTTCTTGTAGTTTATACCGGCGACAAGTGGAATGTGAGTCTGTTATATTTTAGGACCTTGACCAGTGGAATGTGTGTTTCTTATAGTTTATACCGGCGACAAGTGGAATGTGTGTCTGTTATATTTTAGGACCTTGACCAGTGGAATGTGTGTTTCTTATAGTTTATACCGGCAACAAGTGGAATGTGTGTCTGTTATATTTTAGGCCGTTGACCAGTAGAATGTGTGTTTGTTATAGTTTATTCCGGTTGAACAGTAGAATGTGTGTCTGTTATATTATTGGCTATTGACCAGTAGAATGTGTGTTTGTTATAGTTTATTCCGGTTGAACAGTAGAATGTGTGTCTGTTATATTATTGGCTGTTGACCAGTAGAACGTGTGTTTGTTATAGTTTATTCCGGTGACCAGTAGAATGTGTGTTTGCTGTAGCTTATACCGGTGACTAGTGGAATGTGTGTCTGTTATATTATAGGACCTTGACCAGTAGAATGTGTGTTTGTTGTAATTTATACCGGTGACTAGTGGAATGTGTGTCTGTTATATTATAGGACCTTGACCAGTAGAATGTGTGTTTGTTGTAATTTATACCGGTGACTAGTGGAATGTGTGTCTGTTATATTATAGGACCTTGACCAGTAGAATGTGTGTTTCTTATAGTTTATACCGGCGACAAGTGGACTGTGTGTCTGTTATATTTTAGGACCTTGACCAGTAGAATGTGTGTTTGTTGTAGTTTATACCGGTGACTAGTGGAATGTGTGTCTGTTATATTTTAGGCCGTTGACCAGTAGAATGTGTGTTTGTTATATACTAGAACGATTACCAGTAGAATGTATGTCTGTTATATTTCAGGACGTTGACCAGTAGCATGTGTGTTTGTTATATACTAGATCAGCGACCATTATAATGCGTGTTTGTTATAAACTAGAACGATGACTAGTGGAATGTGTGTATATTATAGTTTATACAGGTGACTAGTGGAATGTGTGTATATTATAGTTTATACAGGTGACTAGTGGAATGTGTGTGTGTTGTAGTTTACACCGCTGACTAGTGGAATGTGTGTCTGTTATATTTTACGCCGTTGACCTGTATCATGTATGTCTTTTATATTTTAGGCCGTTGGCCAGTAGAATGTGTGTTTGTTATATACTAGACCGGTAACAAGTAGAATGATTGTCTGTTATATTTTAGGATGTTGACCAGCAGAATTAGTGTCTGTTATATTTTAGGCGGTTGACGAGTAGAATGTGTGTGTTATATACTAGATCAGTGACCATTAGAATGTGTTTGTTATTAACTAGAATGGTGACCAATAAAATATGTGTTTGATGTACAATTGACCGGTTACCAGTTGTATCCGGTAGATTAGTAGAATGTTTGTTTATTATATTCTAGATTGGTGACCAGTAGAATGCATTACAAATTAGCATGATGACCAGTAGAATGTGTGTCTGTTATATTTTAGGCGGTTGACGAGTAGAATGTGTGTTTGTTATATACTAGATCAGCGACCATTATAATGTGTGTTTGTTATAAACTAGAACGATGACCAGTAGAATGTGTGTCTGTTATATTTTAGGCCGTTGACCAGTAGAATGTGTGTCTGTATTATTTTAGGCCGTTGACCAGTGGAATGTGTGTTTGTTATATACTGGACCGGTAACAAGTAGAATGATTGTCTGCTATATTTTACGCCGTTGACCTGTATAATGTATGTCTTTTATATTTTAGGCCGTTGACCAGTATAATGTGTGTTTGTTATATTTTAGGCCGTTGACCAGTAGACTTTGTGTTTGTTATAAACTAGAACGATGACCAGTAGACATTTGTGTTTGTTATAAACTAGAACGATGACCAGTAGAATGTGTGTTTGTTATAAATAAGAATGGTGACCAGTAGACTTTGTGTTTCTATAAACTAGAACGATGACCAGCAGAATTCGTGTTTGTTATAAACTAGAACGATGACCAGTAGAATGTGTGTTTGTTATAAACTAGAATGATGACCAGTGAAATGTGTGGTTGTTATAAACTAGAACGATGACCAGTAGACATTTGTTTTTGTTATAAACTAGAACGATGACCAGTAGAATGTGTGTTTGTTATAAACTAGAATGATGACCAGTGAAATGTGTGGTTGTTATAAACTAGAACGATGACCAGTAGAATGTGTGTTTGTTATAAATAAGAATGGTGACCAGTAGACTTTGTGTTTCTATAAACTAGAACGATGACCACCAGAATTCGTGTTTGTTATAAACTAGAACGGTGGCCAGTAGAATGTGTGTTTGTTATAAACTAGAATGATGACCAGTAGACTTTGTGTTTGTATAAACTAGAACGATGACCAGTAGAATGTGTGTTTGTTATAAATTAGAATGGTGACTAGTGAAATGTGTGTTTGTTTTAAACTAGAACGATGATCAGTATAATTTGTGTTTGTTTTAACTATAACGATGACCAGTAGAGTTTGTGTTTGTTATAAACTAGAATGATGACCAGTAGACTTTGTGTTTGTTTTAACTAGAACGCTGACCAGTAGAGTTTGTGTTTGTTATAAACAAGAAGGATGACCAGTAGAAGTTGTGTTTAATACATGTATATACAATAACGATGACTAGTAGACGTTTTTTTCGTAGACACAGGGGATGCGTGATACCGCTCCAATGTATAGTATTATTGACGTATATGTATTTCATATACATTTTCAAATCGCAATTTTAAATATTTACAGAACTAAAAAATGTATTTTTAACGATTTTACCAATCAACCGCATACATTCATTCACATAGGAAAAAGACGTGTATACTTACCATTAGCGGAGCCCAACACATGCCGAACACCGTGGTAAGCACACACATCAATATAATCATCTGTAGCTCAATATCCCGCTGGTTTTTCTTTTTCCGCCGATACCTTCTCCCACCATTAAGTTCACACACTTCTAAGTTTCCATTTTGAGATATTGCAACTCTTTTCAACCACCTTACCCGTAACAGGGCAAACATGACGTAGCAATTACATGACGTCATTATTAGCACAACTGCGAGATTAACAGAAGCGTAAAGATAACCATATGAATTAGCAATTGGGTTATTACTATGGAAATCTAGAAAGCACCACGTGCAAGGGTACTGTACCGTGTAAGTACCGATTCCAAAGAGGGGGAGAACTCCAAATAGCAGCACGACAATCCACAACGCTATTAGAATAATCCGTGCGCAGCCATAATTACATCGTTGGGAATGTATGAAAGCGTATTTTATGGCTAGAAATCTCTCTATAGCCATTGCACACACGATAAGTGGAGTTGATAGTCCGAAACATATCATCACAAAACCGTTAAATTTACACAATATATCTCCTCCGACCCATTTCCGACCATTGCTGTAAGCCAGAATGGTGACAGGGGAAGTTAGGATAATTCCGGACAAATCCGTCCAGGCTAATCCTGCCACTAGTGTATAAAAAACAGAGGAACTTTTATTCTTGTGGAGCACATAAAGTGCCAAGATGTTTCCAATGATCCCCGCGGAGCCCATTAACACTGGGGATATAATAGTAGCGCCACTGTGGTGAGTTCCGAAAGTCTCATTGTCTCGATCTTCAAAGTAAGAATAGTTACAAATGGCGGGAAGAGTAAAGGATGACGGTTCTGCCATGATGAGTTCTAGGTCGCTTCTGTTGGAGCTCGGAGGTATGTATTGGCTAGTCATCTCGGATTGCTGTGACGTAGAACACTCTGGAATTATGTTTCTGACATCCTCTTGTGCTTGATACTGTCCATGGGGTCACATTTCGCTCCCGAGTATGTCCAACGGTCCAACATTCTACCGTTATTGTGACATCTGCCGGTAATGAACTGAAAATAAGATTATAGCAAGGCATTAATTGTGTGATTGAATCGCTGAGGTTTCGGTGTGTTACCGAGTTCAAGAAGTATGATAATGTTGGTGATACTACATCATTAATTACGTCCGTCCCGACCACGTATAGGCCCTACATGACAATCCCATTAAATCATCTGGTACCTAAATATATTTAATAACCTTAAATATACACCGCTATTGTAATCGATTGCTACTGTTGTCCGAATTACGTCAATCCCAGTACAGCGTTGGACCCTAAACCAACCAATATCGGGAATACACTAGCTGCATGGCTTACACAAAGCATCTGGTATTACATTCTCCAAACAGAGCGAGACATGAAAGACAACCCCGATAATGCAATAATGGGCATACGATGTGTTCTAAACATTACAACGACCCATTGAACGATTGTAGGGGGAGGTTTATTGTGGGTTATACTAAACCTTCAATGTCAAATGTCACATAGATAACAACTGATGTAGAACCTATTGCCAACCGATGTATTCCAGAGGGACATACTAAAATTAATCAATAGAAGAAATAAATCTATTGTCAAATATGTACTCAATGTTGGTCGTATATAAGCGGGGGTTTTGTCGTGGGTAAATGATGACTTGTCGGCACGATTAAAGGACGTTTTATAAACGTTTTGTTTACAGTAACTAGATAGAACGGTATGTGTACCGCAGATTACCAAACATTTACGCTTCGATTTCCTCTTACAGAGTTGATTGTAAATTTATCTGACCTACGTACAGTAATTTATATCATATGTGCCTCAGTATTTATCTTTTTCGTGCTTGTTTTACCGCACATAAATATGTCATTATTCATTCCGGGAATTAAACCTCTCTAACAAAAATAGTTTAAAATACAATTGCAAAGTTACAGTTCATGACGAAACAACACACACAATGGAACAACGCTCGAAACAACAACGCTCTGGACAACAACAAGGCCAAACTGGACACAACTTAACAACACTATATACACAATGGAGCAACGCTCGACACAACAACGCTCTGCACAACAACAAGGCCAAGCTGGACACATCTTTTCTACATTATATACACAATGGAGCAACACTCGACACAACAACGCTCTGCACAACAACAAGGCCAAACTGGACACATCTTTACTACATTATATACACAATGGAACAACGCTCTACACAACCACGCTCTGCACAACAACAAGGCCAAACTCGACACATCTTTACTACATTATATACACAATGGAACAACGCTCGACACAACAACGCTCTGCACAACAACAAGGCCAAACTGGACACATCTTTTCTACATTATATACACAATGGAGCAACACTCGACACAACAACGCTCTACACAACCACGCTCTGCACAACAACAAGGCCAAACTGGACACATCTTTACTACATTATATACACAATGGAACAACGCTCGACACAACAACGCTCTGCACAACAACAAGGCCAAACTGGACACATCTTTACTACATTATATACACAATGGAGCAACGCTCGACACAACAACGCTCTACACAACAACGCTCTGCACAACAACATGGCCAAACTGGACACATCTTTACTACATTATATACACAATGGAACAACGCTCGACACAACAACGCTCTGCACAACAACAAGGCCAAACTGGACACATCTTTACTACATTATATACACAATGGAGCAACGCTCGACACAACAACGCTCTACACAACAACGCTCTGCACAACAACATGGCCAAACTGGACACATCTTTACTACATTATATACACAATGGAACAACGCTCGACACAACAACGCTCTGCACAACAACAAGGCCAAACTGGACACATCTTTACTACATTATATACACAATGGAGCAACGCTCGACACAACAACGCTCTACACAACAACGCTCTGCACAACAACATGGCCAAACTGGACACATCTTTACTACATTATATACACAATGGAACAACGCTCGACACAACAACGCTCTGCACAACAACAAGGCCAAACTGGACACATCTTTACTACATTATATACACAATGGAGCAACGCTCGACACAACAACGCTCTACACAACAACGCTCTGCACAACAACATGGCCAAACTGGACACATCTTTACTACATTATATACACAATGGAACAACGCTCGACACAACAACGCTCTGCACAACAACAAGGCCAAACTGGACACATCTTTACTACATTATATACACAATGGAGCAACGCTCGACACAACAACGCTCTACACAACAACGCTCTGCACAACAACATGGCCAAACTGGACACATCTTTACTACATTATATACACAATGGAACAACGCTCGACACAACAACGCTCTGCACAACAACAAGGCCAAACTGGACACATCTTTACTACATTATATACACAATGGAGCAACGCTCGACACAACAACGCTCTACACAACAACGCTCTGCACAACAACAAGGCCAAACTGGACACATCTTTACTACATTATATACACAATGGAACAACGCTCGACACAACAACGCTCTGCACAACAACAAGGCCAAACTGGACACAACTTAACAACACTATATACACAATGGAGCAACGCTCGACACAACAACGCTCTGCACAACAACAAGGCCAAGCTGGACACAACTTAACAACACTATAAACACAATGGAGCAACGCTCTACACAACCACGCTCTGCACAACAACAAGGCCAAACTGGACACAACTTAACAACACTATATACACAATGGAGCAACGCTCGACACAACAACGCTTTGCAGAAAAACAAGGCCAAGCTGGACACAACTTAACAACACTATAAACATAATGGAGCAACGCTCTACACAACCACGCTCTGCACAACAACAAGGCCAAACTGGACACATCTTTACTACATTATATACACAATGGAGCAACACTCGACACAACAACGCTCTACACAACAACGCTCTACACAACAACATGGCCAAACTGGACACAACGTTAACAATAAATGATAGTTGTGCTATACGATGGCTTGATATAATGGTTATAAAACAATAGAGTTTTCGTGTGACATCTATGCACATTGCACACTATTCACACACTTAAAGTGACTAAAGCATGTTCAATAGAAACTGTAGTTTGCTGAAACAAAAACAAAATATTTCTGCGAGAAATTTAACACATCCTGAAATATCCATCTTTTCTTTTACAAGTGTTTCTGAGATAGTCTGAAGCTTTTTATTATCTCGGCACACAGTCGGTAGTGTCTATTGATTAGCACAATTTATTCCAACGCGAATGCCAGTGACAGGTGTATTGCTACCTTTGTAAATTAGAGTGTCTGTCGACTCTTACGTCAATAGAGATAGGCGTGGGAGGGTGTGTATCTCACCAATCAATCATCTGATATTTAAAGAAGCGATATACGTCGATAAACAAACAGCTGACAGAGACTCAACCGACTGTCCGCTTCCGCATGTACAAATAGTATTACTTTGGCACTCGTTAGTAATGATGAAGGACGATTAGTACCTGTTTTTATAAGACGTAAACAGAGATTACGTGTCAGATAAACCAATATGCATATCTTTACAACCTTTAGCGAATTCAAAATATTTCCAAATCAAATAAAGATATCTTAAAATGTAATAGAGATATATCATATAATTAGGATGAGAACAAATCTCATAATTGTTTTTAAGATATCTCGTATACATATTTTTTACCATATGAGATAGTTTTGAAGTGTAAGTATATCCACTTTATGTAGTAAATCTATTATTAGTATACCTCATTTTATGTAAGCGTGTCTGATTGGACGATACTGGTCACATGACGGGGTAATAAAACAGCATGTTGTCCTCATGCGCTCAAGTTTTCACCATCATGCTTTCCTTATTCGTAGCCTCTCTAGCATAATATGCAAGACCCACTACGACGTAGTTCCGGACGACGAAAGCAGACGACAACAATGACGCGTTACCCTGATCATATTTACTATTGTGTTATTGCTTTTGATTTGTATTTTTTCAATATAATATAACATCTAATGCCCTTGCAGTAGAGAATCACGATTCATTGATTCTCCTCGATTAATCATATTAAACATGATTGACCTCGGGGAAACAAAGTATCGTGTTCCCTTACGGTAAGGGCAATACATGTTGACTTGCCGTAGTAGATAAGCGTTATGGTATATAAGCAAATTGAAATTAAGAATGCCTGATTCCTATGTTTACCATACCATTCAGGTTTTGTCTATAAACCAGAACATATAAATATTGTTTTCCTTTTTACAAATGGAATCCATCAATTAACAATGTATAAAAAAATCAAATGTCAATTGATATAAATAGAAACATTCTTCCATTAAGTAGAATTAGCTATTACGCAAAAGTGTTTATTGAACCAAAGGATTGCTGTTAGCCTGGCCGTTGCCTTAGAACCACAGCTAATCAACAGATACCACGGATTGAAATCAATTTCCATTGATCTTGTTCGGAACCTTCAACACAGAATTTCATAACGTTGCGCAATGCCACTCTATCTAAACAATAAAAGTAAAATGCCAAAGAATCGATGTTTCATAATAAAAACAACAACAACGTAATGATGATGAAACTGTCCCACAGGGAAATCTAAAACTACAGAGAACGGCCATGCATCATTTTCAGAGCAGTCGGCTTCAAAAAGAGATCGAGATACAGTTACTATAACAATTATGTGGATCATCTTCTGCCCTTGGTAATGTCCCTTTTACTTTTGCCAACACTAACGATTTCCGTTTGCATGTTAAAGCTTTCACCATTTCGTAAGATGAAATAGAAGGAATATGCTTGGTTGCCATCCCAATGGGCCAAATTTTGCTTTCATTCAGCGTCGGATGTGGATTACAAGCAAACTTCCGCTTAAACTTTTTAAATATCTTTTACTTGAATGTGGGAGATTGCAGGTTCGTCAATGATTTATTTGAGCACTTCACACAAAAATTAACCCCAAAAATTAATTTCCATAAGATTTGTTTTAGTGAAGAATAAATGTAAATTAAAAACA